GGGCTCAGGCAATCCACTTGCCTTGGCCTCCCAAAGTGCTGGGATTACAGGCTGAGCCACCAAGCCTAGCCCTACAAAGAATTTAAAAAGTAGCCTGGTGTGGTGGTGGTGTGACTGTAGTCCCAGTCCATTGGGACACTGAGACAGGAGGGTCGCCTGAGCCCCGGAGTTAGAGGCTGTGGTGAGGTGTGATCGTGCCACTGCACTCCAGCCTGGGCGACAGAGTGAGATCCTGACTCAAAATACAAAGGATGAAAAAGAGAGAGAGAGAGACAGACAGAATGAACGAAAGAATCATTTCCAGGTTTATCTCAGAAGGTGACCTGTAATCTGCCTCCGTGGTCCCTGCACCCAGAACCAAGTCCAGCCCCTCAGCCTGACGTTTGAGGCCCCACCAGACAAGGCCTCGTCACCCATAGCCTTGTTCCCATCACAGTCACTGATCTTGGCTCTGACCCAAGACATCTGGGTTCTCTCTCATCCTGGGAACATGGAAAGAAGTGTAAACTCTTTCTCTAATGCCAGGTGGACCATACGCCCCTCCGCACCCCTGCTCAGAATGTTCTTGTGGCTCCCTGGGACCCTGAGGATAAACGATCCACGACACTATGGCTCACAAAGCCAGGGAAGAGCTGACCCTGAGTCTAACCACAGTCCCTCTTGCTTTTTGCTTTCTGCCGGGTCCTCTTTCAGTTCCCCTGAGATCATGTGTTTCCTCCTGACTCAAACCCTTTGCACCCGGAAGTTTTCTCTGTCTACCACCTCAGGCCCGACATACACACACTCCTTCAGTTGATGCCTCACCTCTCAATTTATTTTTATTTTATTTTATTTATTTATTTATTTTTTGAGTTGGAGTCTCACTCTGTCGCCCAGACTGGAGTGCAGTGGCCACTCCCGGCCACCGCAGCCTCGCCTGCTGGGCTCCGGGGATCCTGCCGCCTTAGCCTTCCAAGTAGCTGGAACTACAGGCGGATGCTACCACGCCCGGCTAATGTTTGATTTATTGTAGAGATGAGGCCTCACCAAGTTGCCCAGGTGGGTCTCGAACCCGCAGCCTCAGGCAATCCACTCACCTCAGCCTCCCAAAGGTGCGGGATTACAGGCTGAGCCACCGAGCCCGGCCAACCTCTCAATTTAGATGCCACCTCCTCCAGAAAGTCCTCCCTGACCACTGGCTGGGCCAGAGCCTACAGAGCCCTTTGACCAGGACTCACCTCATCTCTCTCCCTGTTCTCACTCACAGGAGGTCATTTTCCAGCCTCACTAGATCTTTTTCAGTTCCTCACAGGAGCGAGGTTTACTCTTTCCTCCCTGCTGGTGACGTAGCATGTGGTTTTTCTCTGCCTGGAACACTCCCCCACCGCCCCTTCACCTAATACCTTGTGCAAGTTCCAGCTCACACACGTCTCCTCTTCCAGGAAGCCTTGCCTGATCACCTCCGCCGGGTCTGATGCCTCCACTGGGCTCTCAAAGCTTCCTGTGCTTCCCCCAGCTCGCCCCATCACACTGGGCCTCGCCCACTGCGGCTCCGACCCCCGTCTGTGCCCCCGCTGCATTGGGAGCCCTCCGCCTGTGCCACCAGCCCCCTCTGACCCTCTGCCTCCCCTTCCCCCAACCAAGCCGTCCGTCTGTGTCTCCCATCACCGCTCTGACCGTTTCTAGACTGTCAGGGTCTGATGCCCGATCCGCGAGCGCTGTGAGGCGGGGCCTGCGGCTGTCTGGGTCGCCACGGTGTCTCCAGCCCCGCCTCGCCCAGGGCCCGGCTGGTACCCGGTGATTGCTGGGCGAGTGAACGAGTGACCCGTATGCTCCCCTCCCTCAGTGCTACCTGTTCCACATGTACGTGGGTGTCCGGGCTGGCGGAGGCATCGGGGACGAGATTGAGGACCCAGCGGGGGACGAATACGAGCTCTACCGGGTGGTCTTCGACATCACCTTCTTCTTCTTCGTCATTGTTATCCTGCTGGCCATCATCCAGGGTCAGTCCTGGCGGGCGTCGCGGGCGCGGGCGTGCGTGCGCGGGGCCTGGCAGCAGGCTGGCTTCGCGGCTGGGAGTGCAGGCCCGGGGTCCCGTCTGCCTGGACTCACGTCCGCGCTCCGTCTGGCCCTGCCGTGAGACCTTGGGCAGGCCCCCTCTCTGGGCCTCAGTTTCCCCACCTGCGAGACGGTGGCGCTCATGGCACCCAACCGCAAAGGGTGTGGCGAGGATCGTCAGTTTACGTGTGCTAAGCGTCGACTCATGAAAGTCGTCGATAGATGCCTGATATTATCGTCCCTGCCACGCACGGTGACATTAGGGAGATGGGGCTGGACAGAAGGCGAGAGGGAGGAGACGGAGCTGGTCAAAGATCAGGCACTGACCCGCGTCCTGCCACCCCAGGTCTGATCATCGACGCCTTCGGTGAGCTCCGAGACCAACAGGAACAAGTGAAAGAGGATATGGAGGTGGGTCGTGCTTGGGGGTGACGCGGAGGGATGACGGGACCCTGGGTGTCCAGCGGGCCTCGCCTCTGATGGCTCTCACCACTCACAGACCAAGTGCTTCATCTGCGGGATCGGCAGCGACTACTTCGACACGACACCGCACGGGTTCGAGACCCACACGCTAGAGGAACACAACCTGGCCAATTACATGTGCGTGCAGGCCCGCTGGCCAGAGGGCGGGGTGTGGCCTCCGACCTAGGGCCCGGGCCGCTAGGGAAGGGGGTGTGACATCCGTGGGGGCGGGGTTCCAGTAGCCAGTCAGAAGTAAGGACGCTTCTGCCCTGTCTTCCGTGACCTTCCCACCCTCAGGTTTTTCCTGATGTATTTGATAAACAAAGACGAGACAGAACACACTGGTCAGGTAAGGAGGCGTTAATGGGAGGGCAAGGGACGCGGACAGGGAGAGCTTTAATATAAGGCCAGTCACCAGGTGGCAGTGAAAGGGTCACATCAATATCAGGCGTTTGAAGATGTGACCGACGGACCCTTCCTGTCCCCCCAATCCTAGGAGTCTTATGTCTGGAAGATGTACCAGGAGAGATGCTGGGATTTCTTCCCGGCTGGCGATTGCTTCCGCAAGCAGTACGAGGACCAGCTTAGCTGAGACCCCCCAGCTGGCCCCACCCCCACCTCAAGTGCCTTATTCTCACAGCAAGGCCCTTAGCCTCCAAGCCCCTTGCCCCGAGGCGGCTGGGGGAGAGGTGACCTGGTCCTGGAGAAATAAAGCCTGTGCTACACCCCTGGCACCGTTGTGTTGGCTTGCTGACGTTGTGGAGGAGTGGACACCCAGAAACTCTGCGTCCCCCCAGAAAAACGAGATGACAGCAGAGACTAAAGTCATGTTTATTGGGAGATGAGGACACGTCAGAACCACTAGTGTGTCTGTTGGGGGGGGGTGCAGAGACGCGTTCCTCACACCCCCCAGGGACTCATTCCTGGATGTAGAGGTTGCTGGGGGCAGTAGGATCATCTGCTGGGCGCGTCTCCACCACTACTGGCCTGGGGAAGGAAGGGAGAAGCCAGTTCATGTGTTCATTCATTCATTCCTTCACTCATTCATTCACAAAGCAGTTAACAGAGACTGCGCCAGCCCAGTGCTGGGCTGTAGCAGTGAACAAGTAGACACGGTCCCCGCCCAGACGGCGCTCACATCTTGAGAGGGAGGCCAGCATGAATAAATGAATGACATGAGTATAAAGGACCACAGGGAGCGGGCAGGGACACCTAACCCAGGAGGTCAGCCAAGACTCCCCAGAGAATGGATGGTAGCGCCTGAAGGAGGCTCAGGAGGGCAAGGAAGAGTGTTCTGGACGGAGAGAACAGCCTGTGCAAAGGCTCTGAGGCAGGGAAAAGGCTGGGGCTTTGCTGGAGAGGTCATGGCATTGTGTACTGTAGCCAGGATTGGGGATTTATCTTGCAGTCACAGGATTTTAAGCAGGGCGATCAGATTTGGGATTTTTTCTTCTGAGTTGGCGTCTCACTCTGTCACCCGGGATGGAGTGCAGTGGCACGAGCACAGCTACTGCAGCCTTGATCTGCTGGGCTCAGACAATCCTCAGACTTCCAAGTAGATGGGACTACAGGCATGTGCCACCATGCCTGGCTAATTTTTTTGATTTTTTGTGGAGATGAGGTCTCGCCGTATTGCCCAGGCTCGTTCCAAACTTGGGCTCACACAATTCTCTTGCCTTGGCCTCCCAAAGTGCTGGAATTACAGGCATGAACCACCGCACCTGGCCAGATTTTTTAAAAACCTCTCTGGCATTTCAAAAGGACACAAGGGATCCTTAAAGGGATTCCTACTGGATAAATCTGAGACTAGCCGGGCTCGGTGGCTCAGCCTATAATCCCACGCCTTTGGGAGGCTGAGGAGAGTGGATTGCCT